AGTTCTATGCTTTTTCTCATATTGAAATAACTGAACAACGCCTTGGTCCATAAAAGAGTTCTGATATCAGTTTTTTTTGTGCAGATAAACTAAGCCCAAAGATGTTGGTAGAAAGTTGACAAGATAAGTAACTGAACACAACTATGGTCAGATCCACTTGGGTGGTTGTAAAACAAACCAGTGAGTTGGCATTCGATGTTTCTGAAGCCCCATTCTTTATGAATCCCTTAGCAGTGGCAAGAGATAAACTGCAGTGAATGGATGGCATTTACAAAGCTGACTCTAATCACTTCTCGGCAGCATGGTCACCATTATGTTAACTGCTTGATGTACCTTGAATCAACATGAGCCTCCTGTTAGACTGGCCTTGAGCACTAATGCCTTCGTTATAGTTATGTGTCACTCCAGCAAACACAAGGGTGAACTTAACATTCGATAGAACCTAGCCATTCCAATCACTTGATAGTAATGCAGAAACATGCTCTCAAGTCATTAAATGACTTTACTGATTGATGACTACTCCTGATGCAGCTAGCAGAAAGCAGCAATGTGAAACCAATCGTCTCCATCTTTCAGGGCTTCAGTGAAGATTTAGAAAACTTTCCCACGAAGTTCTGCCAAATTGCATTTGAAATTTTTGGACTTAGGACCAAACAATGCAGCATTAGCTTCTATGGTCTCGATCTTGATGCCAGGGAATAATTGGTATCTGATATGTGGAACGAATTCCTAGTGGATCCATGCAACATCACATCAGAGTTAGAGATAGTGTCTTTAAATGAAACTGTACCGGTTGAAACAAACACATATAAGGAATGGTTGAAAATTAAAGTTAATAATAACACACACACACACTAGACAAAATCTTACTTTCGAATTTACTATTGTTATATAATGAAAGTACTTACTATGCTTTTCCGGCAATGTTTGCACTAAAGGTGTTTTAGAATTAGAAAATAGTTAATATAAAAACAAGGAGAATGATTAATTAAACAACCACTTGTGAACATTCACTGCAGTCTTATGGGTGCCACTCTAGTGCATAGCTTGCCAGGATGTTTATCTGATGGCTATGATTTCCATGGAGAGGATACAGAAACAATATTACATCTCTTGGAAAGATTGGATTGGTATATTATACTGTTAAATAAATTAATGAGCAACATTATAAGCCACAAATAAACTTAAGAAATAAGTGATGACAAGTTCAGAAGAATTACACTGTTCAGCATGCGCGGTAAAAAATTTCCACTCAAGGTTGTTCTTGGACTGAATAAATCAGTGGGCTCAGGCTGATACAATTTTTATGTAGAGTTCTTTCTATAGATCTCATGATCATGAACCACATTACCCATGCTTCCATTTCTATGAGTGAAATTACATCATAAAATTGTATAAAAAAATGGGGGTGGAAACCACTGTATGTCATCAATGACAGAGAGCGAGAATGTCATCGCATCTAATAGGAGTTCACCCAGCCATGCCCTTTGCTTCTACCACCTAAGTCTCAGCTTTGCAGTGAGTATAAGTTATTTATATGTAGCTGTGAATGCTATCAGGTCTGCTAGTTTAAACAAGCAAGAAATGGACGCGATCTTACCACTGCTCCCAGGGAGAACAGTTGCCTATCTGATCCTTCAAGAGTTGTGGTTGGTTCAAAATGTGTAGGGCTGAGCACAGACAGATTTGTGGCCGTTAAAGTACATAGAGATAAGAAATTTTAGTTAGCACAGAAGTAGTTAGATCTCTATTTGATCTTGGATAGTATCAGTTACTGTGACGTAAACCACCACTCCAGTCAGTGAATACACCTTTTTCCTGGCCAATGTAGATAAGATTACAGTAAATGATTAAGCTCAGCTCTCCATCTCTGTTGGTACTAGTATTAAATGTAAGAGAGTCATTATCATGGATCTTGGCTTAAGTGTCAGTATTTTACACTTAGATGTATTACAAACATTTACTGAGAGTAAAACCTGTGTATCATGGAAGGTACACGTGGCTCTGTGGTGATATCATAAAATACTAAACAAATTCTTTCTAATATTAGTCAGCCTCTATAGCACATCAGCCACTTTCAAAAGGCTGATGGAATTTATATTTTGTGGTTTGCAATAGTAAGTGTGTCTTATATATGTTGATAATTTTCTGGAATTTCAATATAAATTTAAGGCTGTAGTTGAAAGCCTAGGCATTGTATGTCAATGTATAGAGAAAATAGGTTTGAAACCTGAGCTAAAGAAATGTTCTCTTATGTGAATTAATATATTTTTTTAGACACATATCAAATAGGAACAGTGTCTATAGATTTTGTTAAGGTAAAAGCAACAAGACAAGCCCACACCTACAAACAAGAGGAACCCCAAAGCTTTCTATCACTGCATCATATCATAGACTTTTCTTACTACAGTAACACCATGTATGGCAATAATAAGATTGAATCCAACTTTAGACAGGGTGAGGACCATGCAAAGTGATTCCAGTCACTGAAATGTGCTTTGGTTGAAACAATGATATTAGCTTATCTGAGACATTCCATGCATTCTAGATATGGATGCCAATGACAGTGGAATTAGTCAGATGATAATGCAAGTACAGGATAATGGCTGGAGACGGCTTGAATGGGTAATGAAGAAAAACTTTAATATAACAGCAAATGTACAACGTTTCG